TAGAACCTTCTGTCTCTCTTAGGTGATTTTTCACCCACTTCCTAGGGTATCCTTTGGAATAAGGCTACATATTTTAGGAAGATTTGCACATTACAGAACATTAACACATTTCTGATTTTTTCAGATGCTTAGGACTGCGAGCACAGTGTCTGATCCTCTCATCTTCACCAGGACTTGGAGAAGGTGAGGGTTACTTTCAGTTTCACCAATCTCAAAGCCATCTACCCAATTTCTACTCAGAATATGGATCTCCTAAAGGAGAGGAGTGTATTTCTAAGATATTTGAGAGGATATTTGTCACTTAGTGTGGTTGAAGCCCAATCACTGCCAGCACCCTGCCCAGTGAAAGGCTCTGTATCATCCTCCTGCTCCTATTAAGTGCCAACCTGCTAGTGTACACTCCAGTGTGCTTGCTTCAATTCCTTCCTCTTAGTGAGCGGTACTCTGAATTTCCTGCCATGCACCAGCCACACTTCCCTTGTGGCAGCCTGTGGTGAAGACTCGGGGCTGGGCTGCCGTCTCCAGAATGTTGAGCCCCTGTTCCAGCAGACCACGAAGCCAAGCCGCCCCTGCTCATCCAGCCATTGCCAAGATGAATTCATCTTGCACTCAGTGCTTGGCAGCTCCTGGGAAGGCACAACATTCTCCCTCTACTTATAGCTGACGAATAACCGCATATGACTTTCACAAAGCACTCTTCATTGTTATAAAATCCAAAATTTCACACGTTAAATGTTTTACATTTTATAATAAAACGTGACAGCAATGTATTTTCTATTGTATACAATATGGCAGTACTCTTATTTATTTCATAAATATAAACATTATCAAAATCACACTTGAGTTTTAAAGTCTGAAGATACAGTCTTATTTCATTAACAATTCTTGAGTTATGCCTATGATGTTAAATAACATAATCCTGAATTATAACATGATATGTATGTGCATATTGCACATTGAGGATTACTGGGAAGAATAGCTATTACAAGTTTACTAGGACATGATTTCACTATTTTACTGTAAGCCTTCAAAATCCTCTTCCTTGATGTCTATGAGAGAAATCATTTGTGGCAACCTTTTACTTGGATTATTATAAGAGGGCAGTCTGATGCTTTTCGTTATATTTTATAGTCAGACTTAGACTATATAACTGATGGCAGGAGCCCTAATTTTAGATCCATGTATAAAAGGTGATTGAAAGACTCCAAAGAGGTACTTTCTATACCCATACATTAATAATGACCCAAAACTCCTAAGACATATGGCTTTCCCAAAGCTTCCTTCAAGATCACAGTTTACATCCGAGCAACATCTTGTGTAACTTCCTGCGAATCTCCTTTGTCTTAATGGAATATATAATTGGGTTAAGCATTGGAGGCACAAAAAGATAGATCAGGGACATCAACTTGTGTATATATTCAGGAATATGATTCCCAAATCTGTGTACCATGGACACACTCACCATGGGCACGTAGAAAATAAGCACAGCACAGATATGTGACGCACATGTGTTGAGTGTCTTAAGCCTCCCTTCCTGGGAAGAGATAGCCAACACAGAGTGTAGAATTAACACGTAGGAGAGAAGGATAAGCACTGAATCCACACCAAATGCAGAGATGACAATGAACAAGCCATACATACTATTGATGGTAGTATCTCCACAGGGTAGGCGGATCAGGTCAGGATGCAAGCAGTAAGAATGTGTCAACACATTGGCCTTACAAAAAGACAACCTCCTCAGGAGGAAGGGAAGTGGGAAGACCATGCAGAAGCTGCGGATGATGATATATATGGCAATGTGGGCCACATGGGTGTCGGTGAGCACAGTTGAATAGCGCAAGGGATTACAGATGGCCACATAGCGGTCAAAACTCATGGCCAGCAGAATCCCAGACTCTGACCAGGAAAAAAAGTGAATGAAGAACATTTGGGACAGACAAGCCTCAAAAGTAGTTTCAGATACATGAAAACACATAGCAGCCAGCACAGTGGGCAATGTGGAAAAGGACACACCCAGGTCATTGATAGACAAAAGAGATAAAAAGTAGTACATTGGCTGGTGCAAGCTCTGCTCCTCCTTTACAATGAAGAGAATTAAGGTGTTCCCTACAATGGAGATAGCATAAAGCAGCAGGAGGAGGGCTGCCAGCCAGGGCTCCAGATCTTCCATCTCTGGGAAGCCTGTGAAGGTAAAGCTGGAGGTACTGGAGATGTTGGTCCCAAAGTCTTTCATGAGGACACTGAGTGGCACTCAGGGAAATACAACCAGAGTGAAGAATTGTGAAGAACAGAATTGTGAAGAACAGGAACTGTTGGTGTCTTAGGACAAGACTAACAGTGATGCTTAGATTCTAATACTGAGGATCACAGAAAGATCTGGAAGGAAGAGATTACATTTCAGGATTTCTGCAGTCTGCCAACATCGCCAGCCCTGTTAGGGACTCCAGCTCCTTCCCTGCATTAATTCCTCTTAAACATTCTTCCTGTGTAAATTCTTTAAATAGGTGTAAATTTTTCTCTAATGATTGAAAATGGTTTTCCCTCTCCCAGTTTTTACTTATCAGCTTCTTCAATAATCAGGTACAGTATGTCCTCCACAAAGTCTGAATATTTTCTATCTACAGATTTGTTCCTTCCTGCACAGTTGAGATTTCCCCTTGTGTCCCAGGTTGACCCTCCTCTCACTCACACTTAAGCGTCACTTCAGTTTTCATTCTTTCTGTTGGTGAGTCCCTGCATTATTCACAAAGCATCCAGAATCTCATTCTTCCATACTTGCTTGTTCCTGGTTCTCTCACATGATCAAATTGTTTTTCTCTCTTTAGGTCAAGGAGTCTATAATTTCTGTATGTTAAATTCCATTGAGAAATTTAAAAATAAAGGCCCTATTGTTAGGAAAAGCATGTTTCTTCTTAACAGTTAACACCTCAGTTAAGATTCTTGTATTCTACTTTGCAGTGCCTGGTTTTGACTTTTTTGGCTCTTGCTCCCAATTCCAGCCTCCTGCTAATGCAAACCATGGGAGGAAATATTATGACCCAATAATTAGGTTCCTGTAACCCACCTAGGAAACTTGGATTAAATTCCTGGCTCCTGGCTTCAACCTAGGCCTAATCTCAAGCATTTTTGCTGGGAACCAGTAGAAATCTCTTTTTCGCTGTCTCTTTCTCTTTCTCTCTCTTCCTCTCTTTCTCTCTTTCTCTATCTTTCCCTCTCTTTCTCTCATTCTCTTTCTCCCCCTCCCCACCTTCTCTGCCTCTCAAATATTTTTTAAATCCATTACTCAGTCTACTTTGATAATCTCTGTACCTCAAACTCAGATATCAACATTTTTTTTTAAAGATTTATTTTTATTATTTTTTCATTGGAAAGGCGGATATACAGAGAGGAGAGACAGAGAGGAAGATCTTCCGTCCGATGATTCACTCCCCAAGTGAGCGCAACGGGCCGATGCTATGCCGATCCGAAGCCAGGAGCCTCTTCCGGGTCTCCCACATGGGTGCAGGTTCCCAAAGCTTTGGGCTGTCCTCGACTGCTTTCCCAGGCCACAAGCAGGGAGCTGGAAGGGAAGCGGGGCTGCCGGGATTAGAACCGGCGCCCATATGGGATCCCGGGCGTGCAAGGCGAGGACCTTTAACCACTTGCGCCACCGCGCCGGGCCCTATCAACATTTTTTTAAAAATTTATTTGTTGACATAAAAAGCAAAGCTAGAGACAAAGAAGGAGAAACAGAAATACAGAGAAAGAGAGAGACTTTTTCCACCCACCGGTTCATGTCATAAACAACTTCAATCACTGAGCTGAAGCCAGAAGCCTGATGTTTCGTTCAGGTTTCCCACATGAGTGCAAGCGTCCAACCACTTGGGCTGTCTTCTGCTATTTTCCCAGATGCATTTGCAGACAGCTGAATCAGAAATGGAACAGCTGGGAATCAAGCCAGTAACCAAAAGGAATTCTGCCTTGAGGAGAGACTAGTTCAGCAGTTACTACATGTGAAACAAATACCACCAACAAATCCTTTATTAACTCCTCATATTATTCTAGACATCACTTATATGTCTTCCCATTTCACAAAATTCTCAAAAATTATTTTCATGAATGTTTTTCATTCATGCATAGAGCTCCTGCTTCAGCTATCAGTTGTAACAGACCACAAATCACAAACATAACATACACAAAACTAAACTGTTTGTTATATCATCATACATGACCATTTTCTATAGCCCTTCTACCATTTAAGTTCATTAAATCTATCTATGTGCTCATGCCAACTAAAACCTAAAAGGCATCACAGATCTATCAGCCTATGGTCACAGCAAGTAAATCTGACTTTCATTCTTCATTTCCCTTCCAGTGGTTGGACGTTTCTCAGTATTTTTAACTAGAATACCTTCAGAAATTTCTTTTTTGATTACTTAGCTTGGTGTCATGCTGAGAAATCATTCCCTACAAAGCAACTAGATTACTCGGTTACAATACAAATAAAATTACATTCCTACTGAAAATCTATTGCTGGCTCTAAATTACCCTCTAAAACCAATCAAATAATAATTTTAACCCTTACCATGGCATACAGTAGCAGCAGAACTATCAAAAAAATTTGCCATTTTCCAACTAGTCTAATCACTTACATTTCTCTACTCCTATTTGTGTTTCCCTATTATACTTCTTACACATACTATTCCTCTTGGCTCTTATACACTTTAGAAACATATTGCATTATTACATCTTTGGCTAGTTATTCAATTAGTTTCTCTCTCGCCAATAAGGTTTGACATCCCATATTTGTGTTTCATTTTGTTTTATCCTCAATGTTTAAGCAGGTATTAATGACTATAAAGCTGGAGAGTTTTATATATTTCCCACCATAACTATATAAAATATTGATTTCATAGATAAAATACCTTAGGAAGATAGCATAATGAGCATTATTTTAAAGTTTAGAATGAATCAAGTAAGTAAAACAACTTCTTATACATATAAAATCCTAGTTGTCTCACCTTTGCCACATAATAGCTGTAACTTTTGTCAAATTCTTCATATCTTTTTTTTTTTCATCTATAGAATAGAAAAAGCACATAGAGTCAAACATTTAAATGCTGTATCCACATACCTGGGGAGAGTCATGTATTGAATAAATAATAACCAGCAATGCAGTGATTAAGACAGATATTTAGGGGTTGAGATTCCTGGGACTTTTCTCCAAATTTGTTCCCATTTTCAGATTCCAAATCCCAAATCACTAATTGTGTTCTTTTGTATCAGTATTTTATCTAGCTTGATGAGAATATTAGAGTATAAGTCAATCACTTTAAAGTTTTACAAAATTATCTCTGAGCCCAACCCACTCATACCATAGAGTAAAACTATAAGAGTGAGACTAAAATAGAAGCTAGCATCATGGCTCAACAGGCTAGTCCTCCGTTTTCAAGTGCCAACATTCCAAACAGGCACTGGTTCATGTTGTAGCTGCTCCGTTTTCAACCCCACTCCCTGATTATGGCCCAGGAAAGCAGCAGAGGGTGGCCCAAGTCCACCTTACACCCATGTGGGAGACCTGGAAGAAGTCCCTGGCTCCTGGCTTCAGATCTGCTCAGCTCCGGCTGTTGTGGCCATTTCAGAAGTAAACCGGTGGATAGAAGATCTATCCCTCTCGGTCTCTCCTTCTCTCTGTAAATTTGCCTTTCAAATGAACATATATCTTTTTAAAAATGAGACTAGAGTAGTAGGATAACAGGCAGCAATAGCAATAGCTATAAAGTGTAAATACAGGAACTGGAGGCAGAAGGAAAAACTCTAAGTCACAAAGAGCCTCTGCCTCTTCAGAACACTGCACCCTGATCACTTCAGGATTTGAAAAGGAGAATAAAATTCTCAACTCCAACTGTGAAAGCAGAACTGAAACCCTCTCTTACCTCCTCAGTCACGCTAGTAAATGGCAGCCATGAAGTGGGTGAGGTATGCACTCAGGAGAAACGTCCCAGACCCCTCATGCTCTGCATATAGCCCTGCCATCAGCCTCCACCCTCCCCCTGCTGTGAGCTCGGTAAATTGCTTCTGAAGCATCCCCTGGGTCTGATTATGGTTAAAGATGTGGCTGTGGTGATAGCAAGTGTGGAAAAGCTTTAGTGAACAGTTCGTCTGTTACCTGTCAATGCTCCTCCTGAAAGGTGTCAAAGAAGTTAAGATGAGAACTGGGTTGTCTTGGGGCAGTTAACGTGTTCAGCTCTTCATTTTTTACAACTGAGTCCCAAGAAGAATGTTTTCAGTAAATCGGCTACAGAAATGATTTGATGCTGAGATCCAATAATTATAGTTCCAGAAACTATGTCCCAACCCAGACAGTTTTCTAATAGTAACAAAGCAAAGCAGCAAATATAATTATAATTATTTACAGTCGGAAATAGAGTCATAATATTTTCCCGGGATGTGGTTTGCCTTAGCACTGAACATTCTGGGGAATGTCCAGCTTCCGTTAAGAGGACAATTTATCAGCCTACAGGCAAACCTGAACCCCAAACCATCTCTTTCCCTATCTACACGAGCATCGGGAAGAAAAGTTTTGATTTTTTTCATGTTTCAAATCTTTTATTTTTTTTAAATACAAATTTTATAGATATGGGTAAATGTGAAACAATATTGTGTGATAAGCATTTATACATATACAACAGGAGCTACTTACTATAAGAACCAGCTCGCTTTTCATTTGCCAGAAAGGAACTCTAGTGAAAGATGTGTAAGAGTCAGCCCTTGGAGAGGCTTTCCAGGCTCTGGGGGTAGGCTAACTTTAAAGCATGAATACAACTCTTGGAAAGAACTTTTGGGCCATCTTGTACCACGTGGAAACTATTATAATGGAGAAATCAAGGCTTTCAAAGGTAAAAAGTGTCCTAATTTGTACAGATTCACAGGCAGAGTTTGAACAAAATTATCCTGGTGTATATAGATCGAGATTATACCTCCTATACAAAATATTTTTACTGTCCAGCCTTGAGAACGACCAATATTCATTCATTGCCAATCAAGTAACGTGTAGGACACTTTATGAAAATAATTTATTATGTTCCAGATCAAAGAGTATTAGATTCTTCAATGCAAAATGAGCTTCAAATTTAGAGCAGTGGAGCTAATTTTAAAAAAATAAATAAATTTCCCTTCCTCAAGGAAAAACCAGAAGGAAAAACTTAATGTATGCCCATTTATGATATTTTGTTTCAAAATTTATAAAGAAGCACTACTGACATACAGAATTGTTTGAACACTTCTGTTAGTGCCTGCTTCTAGTGTCTGTATGTATATGTGTGGGTATGTGTGTGAGTGCGTATACACATGGGTGAGTGGGAAGGGAATAAGCAAGACAAAATGGCTCTTGTCATGTAGAAACAAATAAGTCTGCCTTCCTGTAACTGATCAGTAAAACTGTCACACCAAATTGAAAGAGAGAAATAAAGATATTCATATTTTAGATGCATTTATTTTATTGGAAAGTCAGATAAACAAAGAGGAGGAGATAGTGGAAGATCATCTGTCTGCTGATTCATTCTGCAAGTGGCCCCAATGGCAAAAGTGGAGCAGATCTAAAGTCAGGAACCAGAAGCTTCTTCTGGTTCTCCCATGCAGGTGCAGGGTCCCAAGGTTTTGGGCCATCCTCGACTGCTTTTCCAGGTCACAAGCAGGGGGCTGGATGGGAAGTGAAGCAGCTGGGACACAAACCGGTGCCCATATGGGATCCCGGTGCATGCAAGGCAAAGACTTTAGTCACTAGGCTACTGCACTGGATCCAATATCCATATTTTCAAAAATTATTCTCATGCATTAGAGATCTTGCTGATTTAATCTGATTACAATATAGGGCACAAAAATAGCTACCATTTATTAAACATGTATTATATGCCATAAGTTTACCAGAATCAACAGACACAATGAATAGTATTTACAAAAGACTTTAAAATTTTATCTAATTCTTATAGATGAGATGCTGAAATTCATCCTGGGGAAATACAGACACACCGATTTGTTGCAAGAAACAGGGATCAACAGGATAAACCCTTTCTCCCTGCTCATAGTGATTGAGGCAACAGGCTAAGCAATTTGTCATATGCACTTTTGCTTCAGAGAAAGAACTTTGAGTAGTAAAAGGAGAGACTACTTTAAAGGCAAAGAACTAACAAATCTGAGGATTAGGCTGGAACCTGAATGATAACATGGATACAGGCAGGTGAAGAGCTTAACAAGAGCTTATCAGTGGAAATGCTAGTCTTTAGAGGTGAGCAGAGATAACACTGGAAACCTCTATCGGGCAGCCAGTAGAGACACCCTTCCCTTTGGGACCCTCCTCCTGATCCTCACAGTTGCCTTCAGCTGAGTTTCTCTGTTCCCTTTCTCTCTCGCTCTTCTCTCCTATTATCCTTCTCTGTCTATATCACCTATCACCTCCTTGCTTTTCAAATAAGTGTAGATGTGCTATAGAAAAGCAGTAAAGCAGGTAACTAGAAAATGAATCTTCTCAAATCTTACTAACCAGAGACTATCAGCACTTTTTCCCAAATATTTTTCTAGACAAGTCTACACGGACATTGTTAAAACATTTATCAAAAAGTCATCACGTATTGATAAGATTTTAAGTATGTGTAATATTTGAAAATATTCCTTTACAATGATTTGTATATTTTCTAAGCTGTCCATACTAAAAATACTTCGTGGCAACATCTCTTGTTCTGTGAGTACAATCTTTGATGTTTTAACATTGAAGAGGATACGCTCCTCTCCTCATTTTCTCACTTTTCCATGACTTTTGATGGAAGGCAATCTTTCTTGCATAAAAATTCTGTATTAACCATAAAAATGGTCTGTAGGGTTACCAAAAATGTTCACAATTAAATATACTGAATTAAGAAGAACAGACACCGTCACAGCATATGTTTAATCTTTCCGTTTAGATGTATGCTGCCATATATATTTATTCAAGCTTATTTTTTAAACCATCAATAGTGTTTTAAAATACTCTTCTGTGAAATTTATCATTACAATCATTTTGGTATAAAACTATGGTTTTGAAAATTGAATAAAATATTGATTAGAATATGTTAATTTTTAATCACTACATTTATATTTATTACATCTTACTTGATAAATATCCTCAACTTTTAGTAATCTTTCCGATTAAGTCTTTGTGTTTTCTTGATCTGTAGATTACATCACTTGTTGATCATCATAATATGTCCATACTCATTCATTTATCTAATCTGTAAGGATCTACAGAAATTTAACATGTAATTAATATAATGCTAAATTTTGAAGATAAAAATTGACTCACTGTGTGATTCTCTCTTATCATATGTCAATATTTACCTACCAATATACCAGTCATTTTATACTTGTTACCTCTTATGTAACAAAAATGTTTGTTCATGAAACATTCATTATAGAAACATTGGCAGGATTAATTGAGCAGACATCGAGACGATCATGCTCAGTCTGGGTGGACATATCTATATTTCTAAATGTTCATCTTTTCCCTGTTTCTTAAATATTCATTAGTTTATTAGAAAGTGTTTCAGAGACAAAGGGAGAAACAAACAGATCTACGTGCTGGTTCGCGTCCCAGATGGGCATGATGTCCAGGGCTGAGCCAGGCCCATTCCTGGAGCCAGAAGCTCCATCGAGGTCTCCTGCATGGGTGGCAGGGGAGCAATAATTGTGGTCATCTGATGCTGCTTTTCTCAAGCAATTATTGGGGAACTGAATCAGAAACGAAGCAGCCAGAACATGAATTGATGCCCGTATAGGATGGCCACTTTGCAGGTGATGCTTTGCTCACCACTGTTTCCCCCCCCCCCGTTTCTACTGTATTTCTATATTCCATTACATAGTTTTGTAGGTACAGAGCTTCTTCTATTATATTTTGCATAGGACCAATTTCAGTCTAATAAAACGTTGCATTTTTCCAAGGTGGTGTTATATTTCGTGTCATTTCTGATTCCGAAACAATGACATTTTTTGAAGAAGTTTATGATGTAAATATGGAACAGCATATAATGAATGGAGAGGACAAAATGGCATCTAGGTTCTGTCTTATAATGCCACACAAACTATGTTAGCAACATAAAAGCATTAGAGCTTCTGTTGTAACACTGTTGGATGTAGGAAGGAGGAGTCTGGGTAGTGGACCTTCTGCACATGCTTCCAGGGTAGAGAGCCTAAAGAAAAGTCAGTGTCTGGCACATAGTGAGGGTTCAATAAACATAGTTTTGCTCAGTAATAGAAGGTAAGCATATTCAGGCAGATGAATGTAGCGAGATATTCCACATCACTGTGTGGAATAGAACAAAAGTACCGAACCTTAACGCAGGTTTGTTGCTTAGGTTACCACATGTAGTTTTGTATACCTGGCCAAAATAATTTCAGGATGAGAACAGTGGTTAAAGATAGCAAGACATAAAGATGGACACGTGCAGTTCTGACATTACTAAGACGCTGGCTTGATCCTCAGATGATGAAAGAATACAGACAGTGTTATCATGTTATCACACACACTAAATAATAAAATGTATGGATTTCAATTATTTAAAAATTCAAAAATTCAATTATGTTTATATGATATTACTCTAATTTTCTTTTAAAAGATGGCAAAGTATGCTATATGAAACAAACATTAGCAAACATACCTTGTGGAAGTATATATGTGTGTATGTGTAGGACAGATTTTTAAATAATCTCTTTCACAGCTGAAATACCATGGCAGTGTTTCTGTGCTAATAAGTACATTTCTGTGGTCTCTTCATTGTCCTCTCTACTTTTGGTCTTAATGACTAATTTGAAACAAGGAAGAAAAGGAAGCATATTGGGAAAATGAGGGACAGATTAAGAGGATATGTGTTTTTTTTTTTACATAAAGGAAATATTGTTTGGCAAGAAATAAAGAAGTCTCTAATGGCAAAACCCATTGCCTTTTATCATGTCTATTATCAGGCTGTCCTCCAATATTTCATAAACCAGTATGCAAATTAACAATAAAAGATCTTGTCAAAGCAGATATCAGAAAATCA